CGCCAGGCACTCCTTTTCAACGGTGGAATACCGTACCTCCCTTGGATACAGGTTTCTACTGACGTATGCCACTGGATGTCTACTGTCTGACTGACCCTGCAGGAGCACTGCACCAATGCCAATACCAGAGGCATCAGTCTGCAACACAAATTGCTTTCCAAAATGAGGACAATAAAGCACTGGCTCTTCATATACAGCAGCCTTATGTCCTGGATGGCTTCCATTGCTTCCTCTGTCCAGCAAATCTGGTTAGGGCAATAATTTCGAGTCAAATCAGTCAGGGGTGCCACACGAGCAGAGAAGTTAGGTACAAATCTTCTGTACCAACCCACCATTCCTAAGAATGATTGAGTTTTCCTGAGTTTTTGTCTCTGGCAGAGGGCAGTTTTGGATAGCCTCAATCTTTTGAAGCTGGGATCTAATGACCCCATTACCGACTACATACCCTAGGTACTCTGTTTCCTTTTTAGTTAGAGCACCCTTGGAAGAGTTAATGGTGAGACCCACCTCCTGAATGCGATGGAACACCTCCTTCAGATGTTGGAGATGTTGCTCCCACGATGAACTATACACAATAATATCATCTAAGTATACAGCTGCGTAATCAGAAAGGCCAGACAACACAAGATCTATAAGCCTCTGAAATGCAGTGGAGCCCCATGTAACCCAAAAAGAATAACAGAAAAATGGTAGAGCCCCCAGTGGTAGAGTGAGGAATGCAGTCAGTTCTTTTGATGAGGCAGTCAAGGGGACTTTCATAGGTGGTAGACCCCAACTTCCGAATCACTTCAACATCACCAAAATCTTGGCTCTTGGCTGAAAACTTGTCATACCAGGTTTGCTGTCAACTTTGAGATTCGATCAAATTCCTGTGAACAAGTTGTGTCATACTCTCAAGCCTTTCCCTCATTTGGAGGACATAGAAACGATACTCTGGGAGCCAGTGATCCTGTGGCCGCCTTTCAGGTTTCCTCCAGAATGGGACATCTCAGCCATACATCAGTTTGAAAGGCGAAAACCCTGCCATACTTCCTTGTATGCAAATAAAACATAAGGGAGCCAATGGTCCCAATCGGCCCCAGTATCATTTACAAATTTGCGTAGGGAAACCCAATCTAGTATAAAGTAAAGTCGTTATTTTTGTTGTTTTTGCGCACAAAAAGTGTTCTCGTCGTTTGATAAACTTAAGATTGAGCCACTGTAGTCACTTGGACTATTTTAACGATGTCCTTTAATGACTTTTCGAGGCCGGCAAGTCATTCCCTCAAGAAGCCTATGGACTAGTATGCAGGAGCGATCTTAATATCTTAATTTGTGTTCCGAAGATGAACGAAGGTCTTACGGGGTTGGAACAACATGAGGGTGAGTAAATACTGAAAGAATTTTCATTTTTGGGTGAACTAACCCTTTAACATTGCGACCGTCAGAGCCAGCTGATAAGTTACACTTTTGCCGAATATCTTTACGATCGACAAATGCCTTGATTGCAGTTTTCTGTTTGTCTATTAAAATTAATGCGCTGACGATTAATTTTAAAAACAGACGCGACAGCGGAATCTATACATCTCAATTCTTCAGCTGCAGTCATCTCTGAGGGAAACCAGTTAGCACTCTTTGATAACGTGATGATTACGTCCCTGCAGATCATCTGTCCATCATCATATAAAGCCCGCCCTGGCAATCTGATTGGCCCGATAATTTTTTGCCTGATCATAATTACTCCTCAATGGATCGAGTCCAGACCGAACTTCCCGACCAAAAAATGTTGTGGGCGGAGTTCGGGCTGGCATCCAGGCTAGAATTATAGTATAACTCGACCAAGAATGGTGATACAAAATAAAATGTTGCGCTTTTCTAAGCGTGTAAAGTGGATAACTATATGTGGCAGAATACCATAGCAAGTGCTTGGGAGCACTTTGACGCGGCACGGTAACGGTGGATTATCCCTTGGAAGAGTTAATGGTGAGACCCACCTCCTGAATAGAGTAGAGTAGTTTAGCTTTTTAGAATGATTCAATGACAAATAAATTCACAAAAAATAAGTGAATTTCTTTCCTATATGTTAAATAGACATTCATGCCAGGTGGAGATTCTCTTGACATGATGTTGCTATTATTTCCACATACAGACGACATGTCAAAACTATCCAGTTCACAGAGGTAGATGGCGATGTCACTTTTAAAAAAAAAACACTACGTGCCTATAGACTGAAACGCCAGGTTCAGTCCATTGAATCATTCATTCAAGAGATTTGTTCAAAAACTCTGATTCATTTAAGCAAGTCTTTGCGTGAGTTATTAAATCATTGATTTAAAAAAAAAATGTATTCAATTTTTTTTTTAATTGCTAGAATGCATCAATTAACATTTTTAGTCATTTTGTTTTAGCCATTTTGTGGATTTGTTTATTCAGAATCGTGGGAGAACATTCTGGATGCAGAACTGATGTTTAGAACATTAAGGATGTAGAAATGTGATGTTTAGAACATTAAGGATGTAGAACTGTGATGTTTGGAACATTCTGGAGTTGTGATTGTCTTGTGCCACACTAGGAGATAAGATCTCAGTGCCTCTGCTGTCTCTGTCACTCCATGTTAAGACAAGCACATCGAGATCAATCATCCAGCAGCGTATAGAGGCGGTTTTCAGGTGCAAGGACAAAGGCAGCGGGCGGTATGAACAAGATGATACTTAATTAAAAAGCCGAATCTGCTTCCCATCACTAATACGGGCTGACAGAGGTCAGGACCGGTATGAGACACGCTTTCAAATTGAGATAGAGACTCACTAGGGCAGGCCTGGATTTTCAACCTGGGATTTCCAAGACCAGCCTCTAAACAAACATATTATGAGTGATATTCAAATAAATAACAAATAACAAACATTCTAGAATCAAACTTAATAGGTAGCCTAAAACAAAAACGCAGCATACAAATTAAAAAGTGAAACAGATTAAATTGAATAGCTAGGGGTAAGACAGAGAGATGCAGCCTTAGACTAAGATATCTTTAAAATGTCATGTCCACAGTATAAAACCTTGATTTTGTCTTTAGGCTATGGACTTTTTTATTTGGAAGGGAGGATTCTTACTTTTAAAAACAGACACGTCTAAATGTAATGTTGACAGGAAAAACACTCAGAATAATAGCACGGCAGCATCTAAACCTTTATTTTACTACTATTATCTGTTTTGGAAATGATAGGCTACAGTGGGCCTATGTGGATTCACTTTTCCTCTCTGTAATGCGCGTGCGTGTGTGAGTGAAAGAGGAAGCACGTGCGCTCTCTGCCAAGTGACAGATAAAGACAATGATGCGCTGCTTTAAATAGAAAGACAATTTCTGCGATTAGTTAATGCGATTATCAGTCACGCAATAATATAACATGCATTTTACGCGTGTATGTAAAGTAGGCTATAAAGAGAAAGTCATGTGGCTCACCTTACGGTGTGCGTAATATAGCCAGCCGAGGCCTAATCAAGGCTATTTAATATTCATAAAAGCTACGAAGAGCCGTGATGGCCACCCAGAGCCTGCTAGACTAGAGGACTTTGTAGACTTTTGTTATCTATGAATCTGATTTTATTGCTCTGTGGAAACACAGAAGACTAACTGAAGACTAACTGAGATGCAAAAGCCTCTAAATGCCATTTGAAATTTTCTTCTTTAATGATGATTTTTATCAAACTTGTATATTTAAGTTCAGTAATTTCACTTAAATGGCAATGATAATTACCTATTAATTGTTATTTAAGTGAAATTACTGAACTTAAAAGTCCCCGTGAAATCAAAATTGAACCTATTTACTTTGTTAGCGCATATTACTAGTCTTGTGGTGAACAATTAATCCGTGCAAGTAAAAATATATTTAAAAAATATTTTACCTTGGTAATCTTTAATCAAAATCTGAAAAGTTACTTCCGGTCTGGAATGGTTTCTTTTTCTGATGACGTAGGTTTCACAGTTTGGGTGGGGAAACGCGTAACCACTCCCCTCAAACCGTTAGTTTGCTATGAGCGAGAGATGAAGAGGAGGAGCGCTAGAGTAAAACCCTGCCCTCTGTTCAATATTCCGTTTCACTTGGAAATACGTCACAGCACTGGAGAAAAATCGTTTGCAACTTCCGGTTCACGGGGACTTTAAATATACAAGTTTGATAAAAATCATCATTAAAGAAGAAAATTTCAAATGGCATTTAGAGGCTTTTGCATCTGAACTCTTCAACTGTTCCCATAACAGATAAATTGGTCACACGCCAATCATGGTCTTATATACTTGGCAATGTTTCTTTGCAGATCTGCCATGTCAGTCGTTCTTGTGATGTTGATGTGCACAGTTTCTCGGATGAGAGAAAAATATTCATTTTTACTTGCAAAACCTAATGTTGTGCTCTATTGAACGTTTCGATTTCACATCTGTCTCTGGAACTATCTCTCTCTATCATCAATTTAACCCATACTTGCTTAATATATCCAGTTTTGGTATTAAGCATCAAAAACTACTTTCAACATAGATAATAATCAGAAATGTTTCTCGAGCATCAAATGATTTCTGAAGAATCATGTGACACTGAAGACTGGAGAAATGATGCTGAGACTTCCTTCACAAACTTTTTGTTTGGTGGTGTATATATAATATTTGTGGCATTGCATTTACCAAACAAACTTTTTGTTGTTGTTGTTGTTGTTGTTAAAAATATTGGTTAAACAACTTCTGCCGTTAGTTGAAATGAAGTACTTAGCGCTGACGAGAGACACTTAGCTTTTAAAAGTTCTGAGATGTGAAGTTCTCAAAGTGCATCTCATCCCATTATGTCTCTTAACTCATTAACAAAATGACACCATCAAAGAATGGAGCAGTTGGGTTTCTCAGTATTGTGTTTGTGTGTGTGTGTGAGAGGGAGAGACACAGAGGTGGTACAAAACAAGGCTTAAATGTGATTTGTAGTGGTGTGTCCTCTAGTGGCGAGTAGCTTGCACAACAAACACAGCACACTGCACAAAAATATTAATCTATACTGTATTATATCTGCCATAAAAATCAATCTGTTATTTACACACACAGGAATGTTGGAGCGTACATTGATTCATGAATACATTTATAATTACAACTGCCACAGAGCACTGAAGAGAAACCAGTGTCTCTTGAATGCCCATTATTTTCATCTTACTTTTCACGGACCACATTAAGGCCTTGTTTACACCTGGTATCCCATGATTTCTTAATGTCTAGTGACACATCAGGGAAAATTTATGATTAATTGAAATACATTTCTTGCATACAGCTCCTTTAAGCTGTTGCTCGCAGGGTTTTTCCATCGTCTCCAGGGGCATTCATATAAAAATTCCATGGGCTTATTTTCGTCAATTAGATCGAAAGATCTAAAAAAGACCACACATTTACGCGCCGATAGACCTTCCCCTAGAAGAAATCAGGACAGAAGGGGTTGAAAGTGGACAAAAGAGACGGATTAAAACACCAGGTGTAAACAGATCGACCACAACGCATCTTAATACCAAGTGTAAACGGGGCCTAACATACATTAAACCACATCAAGAAGATCTGGATGTTCGGAAAGTTTTCAAAAAATGTCAAATCAAGTCTTGCTATTTCTACCCTTTCCATGTTAAAAGTCCATAGTGAGAGTTTTATAGTGTTCTCATTCAATTTTAGCTACTAGGCATAACTTTATCCATTGGAAAGGTTGAAGATTAGTGTCCATCAAGGCTCAAGAGATTATTTGGCCACGTCCTGACCAAACATTAAGCATCTATGAAATGTATTGTAGCACTTTTAGTCAGTCGGTTGTGGTAGTTGGACTGGGTCAAGCAAACTGCTGGGTGAACGCCTGATGGAACTCCTTCAGTTTGTGGAGCATGATCTTGAGCTTGTCTGTTGGAGGAAGGATGGTCATCCTGGTGAAGAAGAGGAATGGAGAGGAGGGGAAAGAAGAGTTTGATTAATATTCAACAATATTATTGGTCTGTCTGCGTTGACACCATTATAGGAGAACTGAACTGAGCTGGACGATGACATCACCGTTTTCTACAGAGCGGCTGTAGTCTATAGATAAATTAACTACATTTTTAATAACTTTTTTTTACAACAAAAATGAACCATCACTGAACTTACTTAAGCTGGACTATGACAATTTTTTACTTCAATATCTACCGGGCAGTGGTGGAATGTAACAAAGTACAAGTACTTTGTTACTTTACTTAAGTACATTTTTCACGTATCTTTACTTTACTTAAGTAGAATAAATAGTGCATACTTTTTACTTTTACTTCGTTACATTTTGCAGCAATTATTATACATTTCTACAACTTCTGTTACTTTTTGATTCCATTTTCTGATCAGTTTTTCCCCTGCCAAAACGTAATCTGACCGTCCGTCCGTTGCACGTTTGTCTCACCAGTGACGTTGGTTGCCATAGATATATTAACCCGGTCACACTAAATGCGTCTCGCACGCAGTGCGTTTGGTTTATAGTGCAATTTATACGCGAAATTTGGTTTTTACGTGCATAGGAAACGCACGTGGAATATGGAATATACATTTGCATGTGGAATATACATTTGGTTAGGATTATGGCAAGCCAAGAGGTTCAGAATTACACCATGAATTAATCGCGTTTACTGCCATAGTTATTAACATATAGTAAGGATAAGCATGATGTGTATATTGCCTAATTGCAAGCTTGTTTCAGAAATGGTGACAACATTTTTTTTCCATCATTATTGAACATCATTATAGGAGTATTAGGTTGAATGAGTTAGAATTAAATCTTTTATTAATCATTAGAAAATAGACATTAAGAAAATAAATTATGCAAGTACTTTTACTTTAAAATCAGGTACTTTTTACTTAAGTATGGTTGTCATTGTGTTACTTCTACTTTTACTAAAGTAAATATTTATCTGGTTATTTGTACTTTCACTTAAGTACTGAGATTCTGTACTTCCTCCACCATCTTTGTTGCATTATTTTCCTGTTATCACTGTAAAGCTGCTTTAAAACAATCTGTATTGTGACTTGACAAAATTACATTTTTCATTACAATTTCTAGCAAAATTCCATGTAGTTTTTCATTTATAATGATTTCTATTATATTAATTGAGAAGCTACGAAGCCCCTAAAGGGAAAATTATGATATATTTTTTTTATATTATATATATATATATATATATATATATATATATATATTATATATATATAAAAGTATTAAAGTTTTTGTTGGAACCCAATACTTTTGTGAGAAAACCAAAAAATGTTAAAATATAATTTTTTCTCCAATCTAATATTTTTTCCCATCAACATGTCTCCATAAGAAGGAACTACATGGACTATTTGCAAATAGAAAATAATAAAATAATAAAAAGGTGTGTGGTAATTATCCCAATTATCACTCAATCACAATAACTATATTCAATGAGCAGATACATAGACTTTTTGCAACAAAAAAACAAAAAAAAAAACAATGTGCTTATGAAAACAATAAGTATCTGTTATACATTATTTATAAGTAAAACATTGTGAATATTTTCTTCTTTCTTTCTTGTTTTTAAATCTTCTTAATTAATATGAGCTCAGCAGCATGTCTAATAAATCTGGCATAAAATGAAAAATACCTATTCATTTTTTAATTGCATATTGATATAATTGTGAAAAATGTATGTCATGAATTTGTTTTACTTTTTTTTTTTTTGACCTGTCATAACGTGATCTTCCGGTAAAGTGACAGACTCTGCTGATGTATGTCGGACTCCTCCAATCATGTAGTCTGCTTAAACTCCGCCCCTTTTCTACAGTTGCAAGCCCGCACTCGCACCCAGTTTCACGACTTTAAAGGAATTCTATGCAGTTTTTCTAGCTTAACTGAACAGCTTCAGAGTTATTGAAATGGTTATATGATTCCTTTCGGGTTGAATGGTGGCTGTCTCGTCTCGAAATACAGGTTTTGATGAGGAAAATCAACTATACAACTAGTAGGAATTAGAACCCAGAACCTCTGACACACTTGGCAAAAGTTCTGCCTCTGGAACATTAAAGTTCATGGGGATAATTGTCGGATCTATGTATTTAATCCCATGAAAATTCTCACCATTAACAACATATATTAGATCTCATTAAACGACAAATTAAACACAATGTACTATTGTATACTATGTAAAACGCCATGTTACGCTCGAGTGGTATTTACGACAGTAACGTTCAATTCTGTTCAATGTACTCCACAGCGACTCTAGGGGTCGCTGTTTGACAAAAATGGGATTCCTGCATAGTGCCCCTTTAAGAGCCCACTACTTGTATATTGTGTGTCAACGATTTCCTTATCCAAACTCTTGAGGACAAACACACACACCTGAAGTGGTAAGTGCCATCTCTTTGACCAAAACCGCTGCCAGGAACGAGACAGATCCCGGTGTCCTCCAAAAGTTTCATGCAGTAGAACATGTCTGGAGCCTGACCCTTCGCCTGTACTCACACACAGACAAACAAGCCATGAACTAAGTCAATGAAACCAATAAGCAGAAGACATAAAGAACATGTGATGCAAAGCGACCTTGGCTTCGTTGATGGCGCGTTGAGGTATGGTGATCCTGGGGAATGAGTACATGGCTCCCTGCACAGGGTTACAGCTGATGCCTGGCACCGTATTCAGAATCTCTTCAGTCAGTTTGGCTTTTTCAGCCAAGGCACTCAGAACGGCTGTTCGCTCCTACACAAGACAGAGGAAGAGGAATGAATAAAGGAAGAGACTGGGACACTAGCCAGTACATTTAACTTGATTAAACACAGTTAATTGGGAACAAAATACCCAGCCTTTTTTTGCAGAAACCAAAGAAGCATTGTACAGCAGTTGAATGTTTTCTTTTGAATTACATGTTAGTCAATGGGGGGTTTGACCAAATTTACTTATTTATTGACAAAAACACTTGAAACATTCCTTAAAATATCTTGTTTTTTGTTCCCCAGAAGAAAGACAATGAGTCTCATTCACTAACTGTGCAGATACGTACGAATGTTTTCAAAAATGAATCACAATTCATCAGTAACTTTCATACTAAAATTTATACTACATTTATTTTTTTATGGAAAAGAACAACTGAAACTATATGTACAACATATATCCATCCATCCATTCATCATCTATCCGTCCACCTACCTATCCATATATCCATACATCCATGTATCCGCAATAAGTTTACCTGTGCATGCACTTATTTATGTAATAATCTAATTATTACATTTATTCATTTAGCTGACACTTTTATCCAAAGCGACTTACAATTGCTATATATGTCAGAGGTCGCATGCCTCTGGAGCAACTAGGGGTTAAGTGTCTTGCTCAGGGACACATTGGTGTCTCACAGTGAATTCGAACCCGGGTTTCTCTCACCAAAGGCATGCGTCTTATCCACTGCGCCATCACCACCCTTTATTAGTGAATGAGAACTTGCAAATGTCTCCCATAACCAGAGTTGTACACCAGCAAGTTAGTTGGTCTACTCGTCTACTCATCTAGAAATTGTGAAGAGGAAGGCACCTTCATGAACGTCTGGTAGGAGGGTTCTCCGGGCTGAGGAGAGTTGACCACCAGGTCCATGAGGGCTTGACCGGGCACAGGTGGGCACAAGCGCACTGACACCAGCTTGGAGAGCTGAGCCTTAACCTCTGGGTCCATGTTGATGACCTCCATATATCCTCCTCGAAAACCACATCTGAAAGTGTGTTCATGTACGTTAGAAAAAAAAGTATGTTATATCAGACTGATCTCATGAAATGTTGTTTGTACGACACCAATTCGTATTTCCATTTTTGACGCACTATTAACACGCATAATCGCTTTTCAGCGTGTTTATGAACGCCGTTGACTTAACGTTACATTACTGTATATATAAATATATGTATATATGAAGAGTTCAGATGCAAAAGCCTCTAAATGCCATTTGAAATTTTCTTCTTTAATGATGATTTTTATCAAACTTGTATATTTAAGTTCAGTAATTTCACTTCAATGGCAATGATAATTACCTATTAATTGTTATTTAAGTGAAATTACTGAACTTAAATATACAAGTTTGATAAAAATCATCATTAAAGAAGAAAATTTCAAATGGCATTTAGAGGCTTTTGCATCTGAACTCTTCATATATACCCCAACCTAAACCTACCCATCACTGAGGTTAATACCATTTATGAGTCTTCCCCTAACATCCAAGAAAAAAATATCGCTCCCCAGAGGTGGATCTACATTTTGCTTTGTTTCGCTCGGACATTTAACGGCGTGTACATACACGCGGAATCACTTGGACATTTAATGGCGTAGACCTACACGTGGAATCACTCGGACATTTAATGGCGTAGACATACACGTGGAATCACTCGGACATTTAACGGCGCGTACATACACATGCGGAATCACTCGGACATTTAACGACGTAGACATACACGCGGAATCACTCGGACATTTAACGGCGCGTACATACACATGCGGAATCACTCGGACATTTAACGACGTAGACATACACGCGGGATTACTCGGACATTTAACGGCGCGTACATACACGCGGAATCACTCGGACATTTAACGACGTAGACATACACGCGGAATCACTCGGACATTTAATGGCGTAGACATACACGTGGAATCACTCGGACATTTAACGACGTAGACATACACCCGGAATCACTCGGACATTTAACGACGTAGACATACACGCGGGATTACTCGGACATTTAACGACGTAGACATACACCCGGAATCACTCGGACATTTAACGACGTAGACATACACGCGGGATTACTCGGACATTTAACGGCGCGTACATACACGCGGAATCACTCGGACATTTAACGACGTAGACATACACGCGGAATCACTCGGACATTTAACGACGTAGACATACACGCGGAATCACTCGGACATTTAACGACGTAGACATACACGCGGAATCACTCGGACATTTAACGACGTAGACATACACGCGGGATTACTCGGACATTTAACGGCGCGTACATACACGCGGAATCACTCGGACATTTAACGACGTAGACATACACCCGGAATCACTCGGACATTTAACGACGTAGACATACACGCGGGATTACTCGGACATTTAACGGCGCGTACATACACGCGGAATCACTCGGACATTTAACGACGTAGACGTACACGCGGAATCACTCGGACATTTAACGACGTAGACATACATGCAAATAGCTCAAAATGCGTATAGATAACACGCCACTTGACTTGAAAGCGGCATGTATGTTTACGCAAAAGTCATGATGTCATGTTGGTTATATGGATTGGATGAACTCGGTGCACATGGAATTCTACATTGTTATCCGAGCAGCACAAAAATAAACTTAAGCATATTGTTTTCGTATGTTGACAACTTTTGTAAATACATTTCAATCATTACAACTCTTGAAATAGTTTCAGCATGTTATTGAATATGGCAATGTTAGTGTATTTGTTCTTGGCAGACTAGATCCGTAATTAGACACGATCTGCTGCAGAGACAATATGTACTTGCAACTGCTAATAGACACACAGACATGCTGCAGTGAGTATGTAATATCCTTAATAGACATACATAAATCCTGTAGCAGATCTAGACAGGTGGAGCTGGGGAGGTGGAGGGTTTCAGAGGAACTCTGACTAACCTACAGCAAACACTGAAAAAGACTATTTAAATGTTGAGCAAGCAATCTCATTGGCTGCAGTACCAGCAGAGGCCAATCAAATTGTACATGCAGTTATGATGTGATTGCTTGCAGACTGCATTAACCTATCAGCCTGCGCCCTCTAGTGTTTCATGACTGAACTAGATATGTATACAACAGAGCTGGGTCCATACCAATGCAATGTGTTTCCCTGTGAAATGATAAACCTGACGGATGTGTACTCACTCTCCCATGTAGCACTTAGAGGTGGAGTGGAATGAGACCAGCTCTATTTTCCTTGAATACTCTGGACCCATCTCGAACAGCACTTTCTTGAAGGAGTGAAACTCACACCCCTCTGCGTATACATTGTCCTGATACACCTAAGAAACGGACCCATAGTAAAAGAAAAGTTTGCGCTGAGCAAGTAGGGTGAGAAATGCATGCCTTAAACCCTTGTAAGAAAGTGTGCACTTCTATGGCTATAGATTCTGATATGATATGTATACAGATTTATATGTATGATAAAATATGGTGTAAAACACCTTATGACCTCCAGTATTAACTTACTTCATCAGCCATTAAGAAGAGGTTTTCTTTGGCTGCAAATCGAATGACATCTTCGATACATTGTCTGCTTTGTACCTGACCTATTAAAAAAGAAAGAATGGACCAAAAAAAAAAATTAGCTGTAGGACAAGGTAAGAATAAAAAAGGGCAACTTTGATTAAATAATTCATAAAATACAATCTTGGCAAATGTTATTTATACCAAATTTTGGTTGACAACACTGTTTAAAAAGTTTGGAGTCTGTAAAGTTTTTGAAAGTAGTCTCTTAAACTCACCAAGGCTGCATTTGATCAATAGTGAAAACAGTAAATATTGTAAAATGATATTACAGTTTAAAATAACTGTTTTCTTGTATTATTTTTGTTCAAAGCTGAATTTTCAGCATCATTACTCCAGTATTCAGTGTCACATGATTCTTCAGACATTTTCTTATTATTATCAGTGTTAAAAAACATTTGTGCTGCTTGATATTCTTGTGGAAACCATGATACTGAAGGGGTGGTCAAAATCCCTTGCCTCTTCAGCATATATATATATATCATAATATCCTCTTGAATGATTATGTATTTCTTTTATAAAATCAATAATTAAGTATATTCATTGTTACTTAATCATTTATTGACATAAATGTATTCTTTGGGCTTTTGCTTGTGAAATAATATTCTTAAATGCATGCTGATGTACATGCACAAGTCACCAGCTTCTTTTAGGTGCACAAGGCCATTTGTCTCTTTCTCTGGTCTCAGGAGAAAGGTTTATGGATCATAAAGGTGTCGTGAACACATATGTCCAACACATATGATACTTCTCTGTACCGATGGTCAAGCTCTATTGAGCATTGCTTTATTGAACTTTAATTGTTATATTAAAATGTATTCTTTCTATTATATTTGCTTTCTGAGGAGCAAATGTTATCTGTTTTTCTCCCAAACGAGTGAATGTTTTACCATTATGTTTTGGTACAGTTAACTGATAATAAGCCGCTTAGACTCTCTTCAGCCTTGATGGGAGCTCCTATTTGCTAGTGTCCTAGGTGAACGCAGTAACAGTGAAAATAATAGAGAAATCGGGATTTTGGTTTATGTTTGAGTGTTAAAACATAAAGGGGTCATTGAGTCCAACAGTTTAAGGCACTATTTCTTTGTTGAAGTCTTACTCCAGTTAGACTAAAGTTCAGTGCTATAGTCTTCTTGGTTGCAGGTTAAGGAACCACTGCCATTATTGGAGATTGAATAAGTTGTTGTTCTGGACACACTGGCGCCAGCAACCCAAATCTATGACCTGGAAGGTCATGGCGTGCCTCATCGATGGAGATGTTTCGTCTATCTGTGTATGTGTGGAAAATTACTGTGTTTATCTATATCGTAGCCAATGAGAATCATTCAACGTGTAAGCAATGATGTAGCTTAGACCTTGGAAACAGTATAACTGCTGTGATCTTTGTAACTGTAAGGGGGTGGCCTACGAACTCCTGAGTGAGTCTTGAAGCTGACTTCTGCTGATGAAATGGCAAACTATGTTCAGTAAAACTTTCTTTAATTTTTATAATTCCGACTCCGGGTCTTCATTCTTCCTATCTGGTTCTGGGTCCTTTAACTGTTAACCCCTAACAATAAATTTCTTTCAGGATTCTTTAATGAATAGAAAAGCTATATGTAATACTGTTACATTTGATCAATTTAATGTATCCTTGATGAATAGAGTATTAAATTCTAAAAAAAAAGCTTATTGACCCCAAACGTTTGATATATATATCAAACGTACACATCGATTTACGGCGAAAGAGTAACCCGACCTGGCGCATAACGCATTGAGGAACGCGGAAGCGGATAAAGCTAAACAAAACACCAGTCACGAAGTCTTAAGCATGAATTTTTAAAGAGAAATAAAGAATGATTTCGATATAGGAGAAGAGGAGCTTGAGTTTGTTGCCCAGCCTTATTTGTTTGAAGCTCAAAGCTTACGATACTCCTACATCGGACGTCCTACATTGCGTCAGAAGTTACTCTTGTGGCGTAAGTCGACTTGCGTACGGCCGCCTGCCGGAAGCTAGTTATTCTAGTTTTTAAAGTTTTAAATATGGATATTTTTCTTACAAAAAACCATCACTTTTCTTCAGAAGGCCTTTAGTTTTGGATTACTTTTATGATGGATGGATGCGCTTTTTGGAACTTTAAAATCATAACCGCCTTTCACTGTCATTATAAAGCTTGGAAGAGCCAGGACATTTTTTTTACATAACTCCGATTGTGTTGTTCTGAAAGAAAAAAAGTTATATACACCTAGGATGGCTTGAGGGTGAGTAAATAATGGTGTAGTTTTCATTTTTGGGTGAACAAACCCTTTGACTTCACTGCATTACAGTCAGATGATCAATCTGAATTTAGTCTTTTGGAAATGATCTTAATGGTTTACCAGTGGGGTTGCCGGGGTTGATGATGCACAGCACACGGGGGTTGCAATGCTCTCTGGCTGCTTGTAGAGATCGCTGTAACTCACTTATGTCGAGGCTCCAGCACTTCTCCTCATTCAAGTAGTAATTCACCTGAACGGCACCCAGCTCTGCTATAGATGCAGAGTACAGAGGGTACTGAGGAATAGAGATCATGACCCCCGTCCGTGTAAGACCCTCCCCAGTCGTCAACAGCTTCAATATGGTCTAAAAGTCAACAAGACAAAGACAATGTGTGTGAATAAGAGTGAAAACTAGATTTCCTCAATAAAATGTGAGAGGTGCATGATTCAAGGGGGAGGTAGGTAGTTGTTGGGGCCTTATGTGGGTTTTACATGGCTGTTTACAAGACAAAGTCTAAAGATGCACCCCGAAATTCCTATGATATTCTGGCCCCAACATGATATTCCTATGATATTCTGGAGATATGTGTCTCAATAGCCTGGTTAAAACCAGACCAATCTCAGTTGTAAGTGAGTTATGGTCTGGCAAAGCGTCATAGACGAATCATTTCTAGAGTGGCGTCACCAATGGACGTCGTGGATAGACCTAAAACCAATCAGAGCGATGAAGGACATGACGAATGCAGAGCAGCGGCCGGCGGATAAACATCTCCGAGTGTTGTTCTTTGCTCGATTTTTAACAAAAAGGAAACGTTCAAATCGCTTAAAACAGACGCGATAGCTGATTCGAACGAGTGATGTTCGACGACGGCATCCATCTTTGTAATGTAGGCTACAAAATCTGCTTCAAAATCCCAGCGCTGTCGTCATCATGTAAAGTCCGCCCCAACGTTTCTGATTGGTGCCGCGATTTCTGCGGTTTGGAAATGGGCTTGAATGAACTCTTTGCCAGACTAACTTTCAGAGCAAATCTAAATTTTGCCCGAAGTTGTCTGGGTTTTCCCAGGCTAGTGTCTCAATGTAAGGCTATGGGATTTTTAAAAATTAAAAGCTTTAGTCTGATTGCTATGGTAGCTTGTTTCAGCAATGGAATAAACCTTATAACTTGCATTATAAACCTTATATAATGCAAGTTATAAACTCTGTTTTTGCAATAAATAAAGTCCAAATATGCGAGATATTAAAATGGAATTGCAAAACGAAACGATAAATAAAAAAAAAATCAGAATTGGAAGTTGTAAATTCGCAATTGCGAAAAAAAAATGTCAGAACTGCAAGCTTATATCTAGTTAATTTTTTTTCTTGCAAATACAAATTTCAATCTTATAATTCTGAGAAAAAAATTCACTTGTACATACATTTATATAAAATGTACAAAATAAAAAATTAAATATGATTTATAAAACAACAGAATTTGAAATATTGCAGGTGCTGATTTTTTTGCTCACTCTACTGATGAGTTGACATATGGAATAATACATATAAGCCCTACTGGATAAAGTAGAGCAGAATAATGGTGGATGCACCTCTCTGACATACTGGAGCAGTCACCACGATTTTGCCAAGTAACACGTTCCTGGATCAACATATTTTGTTGATCCTGGAACAGTATTCCTGTCCAAAAAGAGCCCTAACCCAGCTATCCCTACCTCTAAATCATGTTCACCTACTGGAGCGTGCTGACTATTAAGTACACAAGTTACAGTAAGTGTACAAAGAACTGTGTTTGCCTGACGTACCACAATGCCGTCACTGGCTCCTGTTGTGAGGTAGATGTTATCAGGATCAGATGGAATACCGCCATCACGGCGCTGAATGTACTTCGCAACATCATGCCTTATACAGTCAATGCCCTGACTGTTTGTGTACGCACCTGACGAACATGAGGGAAAGAGCAAAGGGAGGCGTGTTTCATATTGACTTTTGGACAGTGACTAACATCAGCACTTTAATCAGTAACAACCCTGAGTAGATTGAATAACATCAGCTAGTTCAGCAGTCAACAATTAGTAGAGTTAAGTTTATCATTTTACGTGGGATATTGGGTTAAAAATGTACATATACTGCATGGATAACAGAAAGTGTCTATTTTGTGTCCTGTAACTGGCCACCATTTCTTTCCTTCTTAAACACAAAAGATGATATAACCATTTAAGAGATGATAAAAGATGATTTTAACCACTTAATGAAAGTCATGGGCTCCAAAAAAACACGAGAGCCCACTGGCTTTCATTATACAAAAAAGTAAAAACTTCCATTTAATATTTCATGTCTACTCTTATTATACACAAATCACATACCAATGCTATTCCCTCCACATGATTGCAAAATACGCCTCGCTCGGTTTTTGGTATCCTCTGGAAACTTGTTGTCATCAAGTAGTGTTGGATAAGTACACAGTGCCATCACCTTGAAAAACAATTCAGTCATGAGGCCATAAAAGCATCTAGAACAAACTAAGCAAAATTAATAAAATTAAATAGCTTGGCTATGTGCAAAGGGTTCCATCAAAACTGTTGACTTTGGTTAATGCGCGGAACAGCTGAAAGTGCAGTGGACCTGAAAATGACTGGAAAGGATTAGAATAGGTCATTCATTAAGAAGAAGAAGAGTCAGCTACCTGTCGAAAGAAGGTGATTGGCCGTTGCCCCATAGCGTGAGCATCGCCGATATTGGCTTTAATGACCTCTTCAAAAGGCTTCTTGACCCCCTGAAATGGAGTAAAATATATCAAACAAAATGTAAGAAAGCAGACAGTGATGTCTAGCATAGATGTTATCAGTCATGAATAGAGTTGAGGTTGGAACACTGGGCATCTGGACATCATACACTTGCCAACTTTGTAGAAGATTAAAGAGAAAAACTGGGTGAGAAAAACTCACACAATACCATATACTTTCAAATTGTTCCCAACACAATGAACTCACACAGACACATGAGAATATGTACATTACCAATAAAAACACTACGTGCCCTATTTTAACGATCTGAAACGCAAGCTGCAAAACGCAAGTAACTTTGTAGGGCGGATCCCGCCGCTGTTGCTATTTTTCCAGCGGGATAAATGCCTCTTGCGCCTGGTGCAAATCTAAAAGGGGCTGGTCTGAAGTAGCCTCATTATTCATTAGTGTGGTTTGGGCATAACGTGAAATGAATCAATCAGAGCGTCATCCAACATACCCTTTAAGAGCAGGTGTTCATGTTGCATGATGGATTGTTATTATAACAGCGGGTTTACCAGGCGCAACCCATGCTGAGCGTTCACAGCTGATGAGACCGACGTTCTTGTCAGGGCAGGGAAAGATAGAGAAGTGATGTATAGGGATATACGTGGTTTGGGAGAAACCACCCAAATCAGCGTTGATTATATGTATGTGTCTTGATAGAGTAGATAGATAGAGCCCTATGAGGTCTAAAATCAGCTCAAAAAATCTTGGTGGAATTTGAGGTATGCTTGGGACAATTGTCCTATTGGAAGGTCTAATGAAGCCCAAGTTTCAGCTTCCTCACTGACGGCATGAAGTTTTCTCTTAGGATTTCCTGATACTTCAATGAATCCATCTTGCCTTCACGCAGCATGTTTCCAGCGCCAGAGGATATAAAGTAGCCCCAGAGCATCACTGAGCCCCACCATGCTTAACTGTAGGCGTGGTGTTCTTTTCAGCATATGCTTCATTCTTCTTACTTCAGACATACTACTGATCGATAGTGCTGAAAAGTTTTGTTTCATCGCTCCACAGAACAGATTCCCCAAACTTCTGTGGCTTATTTATATGATTTTGAGAAAATTGGAGCTGACTTCTCTTGTGCTTTTGGGTGTAGTGGGTGTTCTGGCATGCATTTAATATGCGCCTTACTGTGCAGCTGAAACCTTACTGCCTGTTGCCACCATGTCTGGCTGCAGGTCTTTTGCAGTCACTCAAGGGTTTTCTCAACTTGTCTTCTCAGAAATCTGGTTGCAGCCGTTGACAGCTTCCTTTTCTGCCCCGTCCAGGTAGTGTAACCACTGTTCCTTTAACTTTGAACTTGCAAACTATGCTTCCAACTGTGTCTATATGAACATTTAGGAACATTTCCTTGACTATCTTTTTGTATCTTGATTCTTGTTTATGAAGGGCAATAATATATTCTCTTAAAGGGATACTCCACTTTTTTGGAAATAGGCACAATTTACCACTCCCCCAGAGTTAAACAGTTGGGTTTTACCATTTTCTAATGTATTCAGCCGATTTTTTGATATTTAGAAGAATATCAGTAACCGGACAGTTCCTGGTCTCATTGACTTCCATAGTAGGAAAAAATATATACTATGGAAGAAGTCAATGAGACCAAAAACTGTCTGGTCACTGATATTCTTCTAAATATCAAAAAAAAAATCGGCTGAATCAGACTGATCTCATGAAGTAGCGTGTGTATGACACGCCAATTCGTATTTCCATTTTTGGCGTGCTATCAACACGCATAATCGCTTTTCAGCGCGATTATGAACGCCGTTGACTTAACGTTATTACTGTATATTTAAATATATGACTTACCTCAACCCCGTCCCTAAACTTAACCGTCACTGGGGTTCCCTCACCATCCTAGGAAAAAAAAAAGATCGCTCCCCAGATGTAGATGTCCATTTTGCTTCGTTTCGCTCGTACATTTGACGGCGTGTACAGACACGCGGAATGACGCAGACGTTAATGGTGTAGACATACACGCATACACGCGGATACGTGCGGATAGCTCAAAATGCGTAGAGATAACATGCCACTTGACTCGAAAGTGGCGTGTATGTTTACGCAAAAGTCATAATGTCATGTTGGCTGAATACATTAGAAAATGGTAAAAACCCAACTGTTTAACTCTGGGGGAGTGGTAAAATGAGCCTATTTCCAAAAAAAGTGGAATATCCCTTTAACATTTTGGACCATTCTTTTGTCTTGCCATCTTTCTAATGTTTTCCATGCTTGTGCTGTTGAGAGATTCTATTCAGGGGGTTGGATCATTTTTAGACAGCAGAAGTCAATAAAAATTGCATTTTCAGTTGAATTTGCAGCAACTACTTGAAACTTTGTTGTGTTAAGCTATTTCAATTACTGTCGTTTGATTTGTATATTGCAAACAGCTGAAAGTCAGTACATTTTACAATAAACCTGTGGATTTCGATTACAACTGTGCTTGTTTCAGAACGTTCAGAGAACATTCAAAATCAAAAGTAACAATCCCACAATGTTTGCAAAATGGAATGCTCACTTATTTGCATAACCAAGAAAATAGAAAACTTTTTTTTTTAAACAATCATAAAACTGGATGCTTCGACTGTTTGGAGAAAATCCACAACTAACATTTTCATAGATGAATGGGAACAATAGCAAAATGTTTTTAGAACATATTTTTGTAAGCTGGGAGTGACTGGAGAAATGCCAAGGCTTTGCTAAGGTGTTCTGAGAGGTTTCCAGGGAATACAGGGTAGTTTCTAAGTGGTTGGTAGGGTGATATGGGTGACCAGGTCCAACGTGCCCACACACAAATCTCTATGATATGGCCTAGGTGTGAGTTGAATGAGTTGAATAATATTCATGATAAAAACTCTACCTGATTGGTCAGTGAGTTTTGTGACAAAACCTTTATTTAAACCTAACTTTGTCTGATCAGCAGAGGGTTAAAATGCAGCAGTGCTTTTACATTCCTTATGGAGGAAAAAACAAGCAGCAAGGGTCAGTTTTCCTGCTGATGGCAGGGCTTCACCCAGTCCCCTCCTGTGTCCCATTCTTTCTGTTTACACATTTCAAAAGCACTTTAACAGAGTGGGCAGCTGAAGCTTCACAAACAACCTCCCTATCACTCTCACTGCATGCTGATTGCAAGCTTGTTTTTCCAAATATGTTGCCCAGTCCTCTCCGGTGTGGAACACATTTTTCTGACTGGGTTAGATGATAAAACCTGTCTGTCCTCTTATTGTCAACAAAAATGATTGCCTGCTTAAGGAAATGATGATCAAAGATGGAGTCTTTACAAACATTGAATGTGAATGTGTGGGAAACAGACAGACATTAGATCTCTTCAATAGCTCAACTGTTGCTCCTAAACAGCAAAGAGATTCAATGGAGAGCAAATGAAGACTTAACCCCATATGTGCCTCATGCAGAGTTTAAGCCGAAATCCATGTTATATTTCAATCTGCTCTCATATATGCCAAGATATCAATTTCTGTGGTAAAAGTCAGAGTATTCCGTATGAAAACTACTGATCAAGTTCTTCCAAAAACCAAATTATCAGCATTTCTACAGCTGCATTCTCAACTCTATAAGTGTTTTATAGAGTTCTTTCTTTGGTAAATCAGCTAAAACACTACTGCAGTTGTCAAGTCTTTATGTAACAAATGTGTGAAAACATGAATGTCATGTCAATAAGTGATAGAACATCACACACCTTAGAGATGATGACAATGGGCTGTTCTATAAAAATCATTATATATTATGATTATGTCAGTGTTGCAACATTTTAATAGGAGTGTTCAAATACTTGCTCATAAAAATGTAGAATGAAAGTGTACTACTGCAGCCAGAGCAGGTACAATGTGTGATGAATCCAATCTCATAACATGTTATAAACTAAAAGCCAGGAACTCCTAAATGAGTGAGAGTTCGATGCATATGGGGTACTTTAAAATACAGTATAATAACAAATTTACAAGAATCTAGGAAACAAGAAACAAATGACCATAAACCATGGAAACACAAGGTCAATTGTTCACTGACCTAAAGGAATATTAGGAACACCTGTTCAATTTCTCATTAATGCAATTATCTAATCAACCAATCACATGGCCATTGCTTCAATGCATTTAGGGGTGTGGTCCTGGTCAAGACAATCTCCTGAACTCCAAACTGAATGTAAGAATGGGAAAGAAAGGTGATTGAAGATATTTTGAGCGTTGCATGGTTGTTGGTGCCAGACGGGCCGGTCTGAGTATTTCAAAATCTGCTCAGTTACTGGGATTTTCACGCACAACCATTTCTAGGGTTTACAAAGAATGGTGTGAAAAGGGAAAAACTACACGCACAACCTTGAGATGGATGGGCTACAACAGCAGAAGACCCCACCGGGTACCACTTATCTCCACTACAAATAGGAAAAAGAGGCTATAGTTTGCAAGAGCTCACACAAAATGGGACAGTTGAAGATTGGAAAAATGTTGCCTGGTCTGATGAGTCTCGATTTCTGTTGAGACATTCAGATGGTAGAGTCAGAATTTGGCGTAAACAGAATGAGAATATGGATCCATCATGCCTTGTTACCACTGTGCAGGCTGGTGGTGGTGTAATGGTGTGGGGGATGTTTTCTTGGCACACTTCAGGCCCCTTAGTGCCAATTGGACATTGTTTAAATGTCACGGCCTACCTGAGCATTGTTTCTGACCATGTCCATCCCTTTATGGCCACCATGTACCCATCCTCTGATGGCTGCTTCCAGCAGGATAATGCACCATGTCACAAAGCTCAAATCATTTCAAATTGTTTTATTGAACATGACAATGAGTTCACTGTACTAAAATGGCCCCCACAGTCACCAGATCTCAACCCAATAGAGCATCTTTTGGATGTGGTAGAACGGGAGCTTCGTGCCCTGGATGTGCATCCCACAAATCTCCATCAACTGCAAGATGCTATCCTATCAATATGGGCCAACATTTCTAAAGAATACTTTCAGCACTTTGTT